TGGGTGGTGAGGCCGGTGGTTATTAGGGCGGAGGCATTGGTGGCGTAGTCTTGGTTGGTTTTTCGATTGAGGAAGTCGTTTGCGTGCGTGTTTATCACGGGGAAGGGTGGGCGGCGCCGGTGGTTTTGGATGTAGATGTAGATGCCGCCGAGGAGGGCTAACATCGTCCAGATGCGGATGTCGTGGAGGATGTCTACTATCATTCTTGGAAGCTGCGAGTGTTGGAATAGTCGAAATTGGAATTTCCTATATGCCTTTTGGATCCTTTCGATTTTGAACGTTCACTTTTATATTCGGATAAGACCGGGTCTTGGCCGATTAGCGCGAAATGACTCATTGTGTATCATCCTGAGCTTGTCGATATTGACGCGTATACATTGCAACTAGAGTCTGGTATCTATGAATAACATCTATTGTTGCTGCTTTTGCGAAGTATCAGCCAAGAATGATCTTCGCGGGCTCCGTGCAATTCGCCTCCCAGACGACTTTTGGTACACGCCCAGCTGCCTTCCGATATACGATCTCGCCCTTGCGTTCAATCCAAAGAACATTGTAAAAGTGGTATTCCCAGCCAGATTCACTTTCTTTGCCGTATTTCTTCACTTCTTTCTGCAGTTCTACTAAAGTTAGCCCGAGATTATGTAGGTCAAATTCACGAGGGTTTTGCTAGCTTTGCAAGGCTTGATATGCTACTTACCCAGATATTCAGAAGTACATATCTCATCAGTATCTGATTTCATCATCTGCTTGAACAGAGGTCCGCCATCTCCTCCAACGTTCCGGAGGTGTTCCGACCGTATAGTCCCTGTGGACAAAGCAATCAGCTCAATCACGTCGCCGGGATCGACTCGGTCACGATTCATATGACGTAGTACGCCTGCTTGATTCCCTCGTTCATCCTCCAGGCATATGATATAGCATATCTCTGAAAGACATGGCTCACGGGCAAATCGATCAAGTTTGAATACCGAGGGGCCCATATACAACATATCAGGGGAGTGGGCCCTTTTGAGGATAGTTTTGACACGGGGTGAAGCCGTACTTGTTTCGAATGAGAGGAATGGCCAATCTTTTCGAAGTTGCAATACAGAGCGTGAAGCGCGAGGGGAAGATGCTGCCAAACGGTGCGAGCTCGAAGTCGTGTTTGCATCTACGGATCCAGCATCTTGGCGTTCTCTTGATGATTCAAGTTCGCCCTGATGAAAAGATGGTTGTGTGCCAGGGGTTACAGCGTTCTTATCGGGAGTGAGTTCTTCGCGCATAGATAGACAATCAGATTCGTCAATGCGCGACGTGTGCTGCATATCTTCGGACAAAGCATACCACTGCACAAGTCGGTGGGTTTGCCAAGTCGATGGAGTAGGGCTGGTGGTTTCCCCGAGATAATCTTTCTCAAAGTAGTCGAACCTCAAACGGAGGTTGTGAGGGTCCACTGGGCATTGCCATCCGCACCATGACCATGATGGTAGACTTCTTCTTGGTGCGACAGTGCCTCCTTCTTTGGCCACTCTACGACTTGCTGTACTATAAGGTTGCCATAGTAGCGCGAGGTCTAGGAATGCACAAGGAAGGCCGCTGACGAAACCAGAAACGAAAGTGTGCCCAAGTGTACTTAACACACCAGATATCGCTGGTAGCGCGTCCTGCGGATAGGTCAGATCGCGACTGTTGTACAAGCTAATCATCTCGATGTACATGTCTAGATCTGGCTGAGACATGGTGGAAATTCGCCGAGCAGTCTCATAGTAGGGTCGGGTAAACGTAGTATTCGGAGCAGATTTTGGGGTGAGGTCTTCCCTATTCCAAACGCATCTCTGGCAATCCCAGAATACCTCTCTGTCAAGGAAGATGATAACTCTCTTAGAGAGCATCTGTTCCTGAAAGGTCCACCCACGAGTGGCCCACTTGGTCTTCAAAAGCTTTTCGTAAAGTTGGGTAGTAGTATCCAGGCCACGGCCACGACGTCTTGTAGATTTCCAGGTATTCAGATGTCCCGCGGTGGTCGCAGCAATTATAGTCAGGTACGCGCCAGCGTATATTTCACCCATGTTGTCGACCTGATCGCGCGTTCTCTCACTATCCTGTACAATGCACAGGCAATCAACCCACAGGTATCTTTCCCCGTACTTCTGCACAAGAACAATCGCGTCTTTCACGGCATAGGGAAGACGAGCGAGTGTATGCCCTTGCAGATACCCCGGCTCTTGAAATTGGGTTAGAGTTTCCTGTGTTAGCATCAGTCTCTCCGCTGTGGACGTGTCGGTACTCGCATTCGGGGCGATCCATACATAGCTCAAAGCTATGTATCTTGAGACAGTACAACCGGGTACTATACAACCTTCTGTCGTGTCAATGACCCAATCAGGAATATGGTGGGGCAGTCGGTGCTCGATCGGTGATGATTGACAGTCCTTGCCATGCTCTTGGTTGCATACGTTTTGCCAGTACGTGAGATATCGAGCATCAATCTCAAGACCGCTGTGTTCTGTCGAGCGCTCGAGGAGCCTCCGATCGCCGAGAAGCAAGTCCACAATATGGTGAGCCTCGCGCTCGACTGCCCACATGAGCGGCGTGATACCCCAATTGTCTTTCGAGTTCACGTCCACGTTACTTGTACCTAGTAACGCCTTCACAGTTGATCCGTTCCCGACTCTTGCCGCATGGGACAGCGGAGATTGGCCGGTCGACCTTTCCTTTGCCTCTACATCCACTTGCCCTGTTTCAAGTAGCAGTGTAACGAGTTCTTCGCATCTACCCCCAATAGCCCACCAGAGAGCTGTGTAGCCGTGCTTGTCTTGAGAGGCAGGATTCACCTTGCCAGTTTCCAGTAAAGCCAGCGGTATCGTGTTATCCTGGGGGCTGTTTCTTGCAGCCCACCCGCTTTGTGCAGCCCGTGATAGTGGGGTACAGCCACTTGTATCCCTTGAGTCTGGATCAACGTTTTTCGAGTCAAGCAACATTCTTACGATCGTATTGCACCTCCCACCCGCAGCATACGACAGAGGCGTTCGACCGTTTTTATCTCGAGAGTCTGGATCTACCCTGTTACTCGAAAGAAGCTTTTCAAAGATAACATCGCCCTTCGAACCCACAGCGTACGACAGAGGCGTTCGACCTTTGTTATCTTGAGAGTCAAGATCCACCCTGTCGCTCTCGAGAAGCATACTTACAATTGCTTCACGTTCTGCGGCGATCGTATTGTACTTCTCTTCCACAGCGTACGACAAGGGCGTTCGACCTTCATCATCTCGAGAGTCTGGATCCACTCTGTCGCTTTCGAGAAGGATTTTCACAATCGCTCCACGCGTCTCGCCTGCGGCATGCGACAAAGGCGTGCGTCCCTTCGCATCACGCGAATTCGGATCTACCTTGTCGCTAGCCAGGAATATCTTCACGATAGCTGCGGATGCACGGCTTGTGGCGATCGATAGCAAGGTTCGGCCTGGATAGTATCTTTCATCTCGTTCGTCCGGTCTCACGTGGTTACTTTCAAGAAGTTCCTGCAACAAAGCCTCGTCCTCAGTCTCTCCAAATGCTATGCGCTCTAAATTCCATTGGTGATCTATTGTTGGCGAGTTGCTTTTGCTGTCCACTATCCCCATCTTTGCGGTCAACGTCCCTCCTCTTACGGTCCTTTCGCACGGCTTAGTCGCGCGATCGCCCAGTAATCTTGTTTCAACTTTTCCGTGTCGTGCGGCTTATCGTAGATCCGGTGGTGGTAGCCTTCAACTCCGGTCAATGGCGTCCGGGGTGAAATGGGGACAAGGCTGGTGATAGCGCGAGACGAGCAAGGCAGAATCAGGACGGGCCCGCTTAACTCTTATGTTCCTGTCGCGAGCTGTCAGCGGGAAGTGCGTACATGCGTTGACACAGCCGGCGTCTTGTTATTGGCTTGCTCATAAACGTGCCAAGCTATGCGCATCGCAGGCACCTCAGGCCTTGAGCCTGCCGTCAGTATACGTTAGTCTCTCTCACTTCGCGTGACCGTTCGCGCCTGGGACCTGCATTTTACGACTACCATTGAGTGGCACTTGTTCCTGCTCCTTCTACAGAATACGGTACCCGGAAGCGGAATGACCGGTCGACTTGCAGACGCTCTTAGATAGAGTAGAAGAATTGTCGCGATCCGGAGCTCGGGGGCTGAGTATCAGCCCCGGCGCTAGATGGTAGCGGCAGCGGGCAGAGCTAACCTCGGGATAGTTCCCGACGCGTCCGATAGGTGAACGCCGATCAGGTGGACCTGAACGTCGAGGGAAGCAGGAGTACTGCTGAACAAGCAGACAAGATATGTCATGGCAATTCTGTGATAGAACGCTGATAGAACCCACTGACCACGCAGTGAAGTAAGCTGACGCTAAGCTCCTAGTAGTAATGTCTGAACGGTCAGATCTGTGTCCTGCCCCACGCGTCTGAACAACTACAACACACCTTCGGACTTGTCAACATGCGCATACACGTGTTTGATGTTGCTGCGAGCAAGCGCGCGAGCTTCTTTGCATCGCGTAGGCGCCTGTCGACATTTTCCAGCATCCCGTCGTATCAGCATCCCCCAGCTGTACTCATATCGTCGCGCCGGCCCTCGATACACGCAACCGCGTTGCGAACTGAGCGACCGGCAACCACAATCAGCATTCCTTCTTACCAATATCACACCAATTTTCGTCCAAGCGTCATCTCTAGTCCATCGCCACCAACATCTTCGTTCGCCGGCCTAAAGTAATATTCCAAGTATTTCACTGACAGCATTGCAGGTACACCACGGCCTTCGCGCTCTTCGAGGCTTTGTGGGAGGTGAGTCCACATTACTGCCACACGGGCATACGCAACTTTGAAAACACTATGGCCACTAACATCTGCTCCAGGCCGGCATCACCGTCTGCTTCGTTAATGTGGGCTCAGACCATCCGTCCATCATCGAGGCCATTGTCAAGGGCAAGAGAGAGCGGCCAGACAAATGGCCCCGGTTCATAACCTGTCCATCGGAGATAACAGCTATATCAATGGCAGATGGCTACGCGAGAGTCTCCGGCCGGGCGCAAGCTGTCGTAGTCCATGTCGACGTGGGCACGCAAGCGCTTGGACAGGGCCTACACAATGCAAGCGTCGGGCGGGCGCCTGTGTTCATCTTCGCCGGAATGTGTCCCTATACTGAGGCTGGGGAGATGACGGGGTCACGGACAGAGTATATGCACTGGCTGCAGGAAGCGCCTGACCAGAAAGCCATCGTTCGCCAATATTGCAGATATACTGGCGAGATCCGGACAGGCCTCAACGTCAAGCAGACCGTTGCACGTGCGCTGCAGTTTGCAAACAGTGGACCAAAAGGACCAGTCTATGTTGCCAGCGGACGAGAAACACTTGCGGAGGTAATCGAGGAGCCTTACCAGTTGGATCAGGAACAGTGGAAAGCCGTCGGTCCCAGTGCTCTGCCAGCTGATGCGGTTGAAGAGGCAAGTCCTACACCTATGCGCTTACAAGACATCTTACTGACGTGATATGTTTACTCTTTAGGTAGCACAGGCCTTGGTGGGGAGCAAGCGCCCACTGATAATCACAGGATACTCAGGCAGAGACAGACGTTGCCCCGAACAACTGGTCGCTCTCGCAGATCTCATACCTGGCTTGCGAGTGCATGACACTGGAGGCAGCGACCTCTGCTTTCCTTTCTCACACCCGGCTTCGCAAGGCTTCCGTCTTAGCACCGGTGAATGCACACGCGATGCTGACATGATCTTACTCCTCGACTGCGACGTCCCTTGGATTCCATCGGTAAATCCGCCACCCAGAGGCGCACGCATATATCAGATTGACATCGATCCTCTGAACGAACGCATGCCAGTTTCCTTCTTTCCAGCGCATGGACGATGGAGAGCTGAATGTTATACTGCGTTGAAGCAAATTCGTTCCCACATCACGACATCTCCCCTAAGTGAGACGCTTCAACAGCCTTCATTCCTGGAACGCGAAAAAGTTCTTGCGGATAGTCATAAGCAGAAACTCGTCGAAATCGCGGCACGATGTCACTTGGGCGACGAGCAATCTCTCGACGCGAGCAACATTGGCCATCTTCTCAAGCAAATCCTTCCGGACACAACGGTATTCGTGATCGAGGCTGTGACATGCGGGCAGCTTCTCTCTGATCAGATTCAGGCCGACCGACCTGGCAGTTGGATCAATTGCGGTGCAACTGGTATTGGCTGGAGCAATGGTGCAGCACTAGGTGTCAAGATGGCCACAGACGACGCTGCCGTCACTATGGAAAGTGCGCATAAGCCAACGCTCATCTGCCAGGTTGTTGGAGATGGTAGCTTCATGTGCGCAGCACCTTCGAGCGCGTTGTGGGTCGCCTCCAAGTACAAAATACCCATCCTTACAATCGTACTCAACAATGGTGGTAGGTCTGCTATCGAACAACTTGCTATATGCGCGCTGACATTCTTACCAGGCTTCAAGGCTCCAAAGAACTCAACCGCCTTGGTGTATCCTGATGGATTGAATCAGGGAGCGACTGATGATGAGATGAATATCTCCTTCAGGCCATCTCCGAACTATGCTGCACTCGCAGAAGCAGCTACTGGAAGCCAGAGTTCGAACGTCTCGACGCAGGATTCGAATCATTGGATGGAAGGCGTACGAGTAGATTCCGTAGCGTCGTTGAGGAAAGAGCTGGGTAAGGTTTCACAGAGAGTGCTAGAGGCGAAAAAAGGCATGTTGATTGAGGCCTTGATAGCTTAGTAGGTCGGACTGGATGTGATAGGTGGGATGAACTATGACTCTTCGGAATCTCACGCCTGGCCTGGCTTCTAGTTCTGCGTGTCGGATGGCCAATTAAGTTGGTTTCCAGATGCGAATGGTATGCATTGACCGGCTACCAATACGCTCGAGCGCATTATACTGCCCTCACTCGTTGACATGCCGTTTTCGAGTGCGCAAATCATGCAGATCTTTCCACTGCGTCCTGAAGCATACGAGCAAAATACAGGGCTTTTAGTTAAACAGAAGTAGTTAATGATAGCTACAATTAGGTATCGGCGGCATAGTTGAGATCTCCGTGGAAAGCACCTCGATACGAACTGAAGTCATGACTATCACATTTGGCAGCGCTTTCACTGCTACCGAAGTGGTACTTAATTTTACAACGGCTTTGAAAGACTTCCATTACATGTTCCAAGAGCGAGCGCTTTTGGTAAATGGTGATCGCATAGATTAATCGATTGCTATTAGAGAAAATTGCCGCAGATATCGATTGTACGGCATGCGTGCGGGAGAGCAGTACATGGATACCTCCGGATAGTGTTTTGGAAGACGATAGCTGAGCTCCGGCACTGGATAGTGGATCTTGAAATTTTCATCGCTTTAGGAATAAATGTATGGTGAGATGCCGCAGCTTTCGAGATCATGGCAGGTTTCCCAGCATCTTTGAGTAGATTTCGATAAGCATCTCCGGGCAAACCCATCCAGCGACTAAGGCTATGTTTCCGACCAAGTGCTACGTTGTCGACGCCTCGAGGAAAGCACATGCCCTAGTCATCAGGGCATTTTCAGCAGCGGAAGTCCACAACATATAATGTTCGTTGTATAGTTTGGAAGACTGGACTCGGCCATGGAAGTAGGGGACTACGATTCTTGGTGTTTTAGGAACAAGTGAAGAATGTATGAGGAAAGAAATTGAGAGCCGGAAGAGAGGTATTTATACACGTTGCCAAGTAGCTAGCAGTTCTCACATGCCCACGCGGTTGCTTTGTTTCAAACTGTTGAGTAGCTCAACGAACAAGTCGTTTTCGTGACATCAACTGAGCCTGATATCTTTTGAAAGATGGCGCCAATACACACATACTTTTTTTTTTTACCGCAACGCGGAAGCAGAGCATATCAAGGTTCCACGATCAGTCCAATTCCAGCATAGAAACGGAATGCAGGAATTTGGAATGCGGAACGGAGTCTGCACACATGTGCAGCCCGCGTGCTTGCTTTTGGGGGGAGGCACTCATTTGAGGTAAAAGTAGCTGTTTACAGTGACCAGAAGTCCTGCACTCATGGGGAGTTGTCGACGTGTTTTGAAAAAGCGCTCTGATCGATCGACTATATGTCATTTTGGAGAAGGAAGCTGGGATATGCAGACGACAGGAAGGGAGAAAGGAGAGCAGGCGGATGCAGACTTTATATCGCAAACCAGGCTTCTTTCTGGGGTCTGGATGATGTACGCTCCGAGCTTCCCACATGTGATCTTTTCTTCGATACTTTTCGTGGCGGATGGCCGTGGGCAAGTCGCTCGAATCTTTTTAGAAGCCAGACAATCTCTTTTCATGGGTATTGAGCCTTTACCATTTGGAAAAGGAACGCCCATAGCCGCCAGAAAAACATGTTTTAGAAGAAGAGAGCAAGGCTTTGGTATGAAAGAGAGAGATGGAAGGAGCTGGTGAGGTAGTTTTTATATCGCGACCGGGGCACTCTTCACTTTGGCATATCCTCCGAAAGCTCCACAGTAAGAAGAAATGGCTAAAGTCTCTGCACATATGCTCTCAGTATACTTATCTCGAAGGAATACTCCCATCAAAGGCCCGGCACCGTGGCGATCGGAGAATCTCCACACATGACTTCTTTTTGCTGTTTTTTGGAGGACAAAGTCCTATGGCATTTTCCATTCTCATTTTGGAAGAATAGACGCAAGTGTGGTATAAGAGGGAAAAGAAGCAGCAAAGGCAGGGTTTATGTTCCAGCATGCCCTCCAAGGTCTCGCATGCAGCTATCCAAACACAGATTTCAGAAGACCGCCAGACGTCTCCACACATGCGCAACCATTTCCCAGTGTTTGAAAGCAGAAGGCTCATGGATGGTTTGCGATAGGCTTTCGAAGCGCAGGATCTCTCCAGATGCCAATACAGTCGCAGGTTTTTGAGAAACAGAGTCTCATATTCCGACGGCATCAATGTTGTGGAAAATACCAGTTAAGTAATGGTGTGAGAGAGAAAGAAAGTAGGCGAGGAGGGCAGCTATATACCCTGATTGTGCAGACAGACGCCGCGGTCTTTGCCTATCGGCAACTTTCCGAATGCTTTTCGCAACATGCGTCGATGCATCTATCGATTTTTCTCTCTCCCGTATTTGCTTTGCGATACATCTTTTTCGAACAACCAGCGTAGCCTACAAGAAGCGTAGTACCGACTTTCGAGGTAGGGGAAGAACAGTAGTCATATTTGCGAGACTACTCCTCGTCCCCACACATCGAACTTCTTCTAGAACTTTTTCAGGAAAGCCAACCTCTCACATGAAGAGGTCTGTGGTCCTTTTTGGAAGCAGCGCAAGCCGCAGACATTCGGGCGTGTCGATCGCCTTTTTGAGAACACAGCAACCGTAATAGTGGTAAGAAGAAATCAGGAAGACCGACGAGAAGTAAGAGGCTTTATATGCTGCGAGAGCCATCGATGACCCTGCTTTGTTCTTGATTGTGGGAAGAAGGACTCCACACCATGAAAATCGGGCTGAAATCTTTGAGCGAAGCACAGGTGCCAGCGCATATGGAAAGTGGCAGTTTGTTTCGGCTCATAGCCTCTCTATGGTATTGATGTAGCTGGATCTTGTATATGGCGGAGGGGAGGGCAGAGACAGCCATAACGAGGTTGGGACAACACTTTTTGACATAGGCCACTTGTCTGCGTGTTTTAGGCGAACGCGCCATCATAACTCCCAATCGAGGTTTTGGAGAAGGCACCCCAGACATCAGAAAGTTCTGAGTTGTTTTGGGGGACAACCCAAGAAGGTGTGGAATAAAGTAGAGGAACCCAGAAGCAGGAATGAGTGATCTTTATACGCCGCGAAAGTCATTCCGCTTGGATCGCCATGTTTTGAGATCGAGATCGAGACGGAGGAAGCGCGCAGCATGTAGGCCTAGTCTTGACGTTTTAAGAGAAGACACCAGCTCGCCGCATTCTTGCATATCCGTAGAATTTTCAGAGTCGCAGACTCTCCATGCCTCTGTTGTACGCACGATTTGATAAAGAGCACCGAGGAAGCCAGGGAGAGACATCATCGTCCGACACGATGCTTTTGTAATCCAGAAATCCATAAATCTAGGTCTTCTTCTGGACAGCAGGTCATGGCTTGCGCTTCGGTGAATTTTTTCGGAAGAGGAGTCCTCTCCATGCGGGAGGCACTCGGACAATTTTGGTAAATGATACAGGAAGTTGTGGAATGAAGAGGCAACACTCGCAGCGAGAATAGAAGACTTTATACATTCTCGAGAACCATGACGAGGTAGTCACCGCGTTTCGAGAAGGCAGGGGAGCGCCGCAACATCAATATCGCATGATCGGTTTTCAGGTCCTGGTTTCTTTGTCGTGAATTGGAACGCCGCTTCTCTCTCTCCATGTCTCGGTTTTACTTTGTTTTTGGTGTTCTCGGCCCTTCTCATGCCATAATGTCAATGTGCTTTTCGGTGTAGGTGTAGTCGCAGAGCGGAACTGGACATTGTAACCAGGACGAGGAACTTTGGTTTTGGTTTTCTGCGACAAGGACAGAATCCGCATTCCATTTCATTAATGTTGCCTTGTGTTTTGGACCGCCCAGCCTCTCATGTGAGAACCCAAGGTTCGTTTTTTTGGTATAAAGGCGCAGTCGCAGAGCAGAAGCCGACATGGGTTGGTGGCAATGATGTTTTGGATATTCTTTTCGAAAGGTAGTTGGTTTTGAGCGGGCGGCCTCTCACATAAATCATTGGAACCTGAGTTTTGGAGAAAAGGTCTTGCTCCATATGTCGACTTATGGTAGGTTTTGGAGAAAAAAGAAGGAAGTGTGGAATGAAGAAGTCAGATCCAGAAGGCAGAGGAGGGTTTTATGTACCCGTAGAGCCAGTGCCAACTCACGTGCGCAACTCCGCAGCTCCACAGTCTCGACCGGCGATAATTACTCACATGACAAACACACCAATGCGAGACGTCAGATGAGATGAAGTAGTAAAAGGTAGTAGTCGATATTTAGCCCATCCCATAAGCATAGCCGCTCTACAAAGCAATATAAAACGCCACAGTGAGGTTCGCGTCTTCAAGACACCATCACCACCACCAATGCCATGCTAAGATTTCCATCTAAATAGATATAAAGAAAAAGACATTGCAGGAATGTTAAAGCCCTCACCCGACCAGTTTTCATGACTGTGATACATCATGCTCGCCACCCTAGCTTATACGAGAGTTCTACTCCCTCTTGAACTGCTGCTGAAACCCGCCCTGCTGCGGCGACCCCGGACTCCTATACGGATTATTATTCGACGGGGCGCGTTGTGGCGCATTGGCATTGATATCCCATCGCCTCTCGCCCTCCTCCTCTTCTACTTGTGGTGCGCGGGGTCGGCTGCGCGAGCGAGGGGGCGGTACCATAGTCTGGTATGAGTACTCCTCTACCTGTCCTGTCGAGATAGAACTAGGCGATCCGGGTGCAGTGCTGCGAGGCATGGATGGTGGTGGTAGGGGACCACCTGGCGGGGGCGCATATGTGCTTTGGCCGCCGGAGGGTACTACGTGGAGGGGTAGCGGTGGAGGCGGGTTCTGGCGTGGTGTGTCGACGGATACGCGCGAGCCGAATGGCGAGAGTGTGGTGCCGCCCTTTCGCTTTCCGGCGGAGCTAGCTTTGCGGAGAAGACCGCGGACTTCGTCGAGATCAGGTCTTTGGTCCGTGCTGGGACGGCCGATGGTGCTGGAGTCGTCGCCGCGAGCTTCCCAGGTATCGTCGCGGATGGT